GTAAACGAGCTAAGTTTTACGCTTCTTCATTTATTCGTCCGAAATGAATATTCTGTGTTGTGCAGTATAGGCTAAATACCAAATATATGTATGTTGCATCGCTAATTTAGTAGCAGCAATAGCTGTTTATTTTTGAAAATTTAAATTTTTTTTAATTATAATTTTACAGTGTTGAGCATAATGTTGTATCTCTTTGCAATTTAAAAACTCCTTGAAAATATTTTTTGCAATAACAGGACACTACTTGTACAAATTCATAAAATCCTGGTTGAAAGAATGTGACTTAACGTTTATTTTATATTCACAAATTACGAGTAATTTTTTCACAATTTTACATAATGGACCTTTCACAAAATGTCTGGACAGAGGTATCAATAGATGTTAGTCCTCTACTCGTCCAATGATTTTAAGGCGAACAGTCCAAAACTCCCCAAAGTCACATGAATTATAATTGTGAGGATTTTGTAATACAGAAAAAGATACATATTTATTTATTTATTTTTTATATTATTTCCTTACTATTTCGATCCAAGTTTTGCCTACTCTTCTGAAAATGAGTTTAGCTGATATATTTTGTAAATCATTCAAAGTTCTACACTGCAATTTAAACGAGTTATTCAAAGAAAATCTCTGTGTCCCAAAGTAACCCTCCTTTACAGTATGAAAAGGATTTTAAAAAAAATTAAAAAAAATTAAAAAACGCTCTCTACTGTTATATGACTAGAGATTTGCAAGATTTTAAACACGTTATTGAATGTTGCAATAATTCTTTCGACTCCTTCCTGTAGAACTCTGATACTAATATCATTACTCTTGTAGAATATAAAAATAATCGTCACGCTATGAGATTGTTATTAATAGTGAAAGCTAACGAGACAATGACGTTGACAGTGTTATCCGTTGAGAAAAAAATCTTCCTTATGTGTTGTGTATTATATTAATGACCCGAAGTTTAAATGAATAGATCAGTTGCTTCATCATAATCGTAACGTGACTGACATTAATTGGAAGTATCTCCGAAGTTTAAATTCTGACATGGCATGCATTAATGTTTCGAACTTTTCTTTCCCTGGAAGTTGTATTGAAAGTTTTAGTTTTGATTTGCTTAATTGGGGTTCGTGATTTTATTGATTTAATGAGGGGGTGAGGAAAATTAACACGAGTGTTATTTCAAAGTTATATTGGGTAAAAATTTAAGAAAACAGTCAAAAAGTCTTTCGTTGGGAAGGGCCCTAAAAATTATGATTTTAGGGAAAGTTCGAAGGTTATTTGAAGGGCAGGGCAGTAGTTTCCTCAGGGAACGGAAATATTTTGTTTATTAGATACAGGCAGTCAAAGCTCGATATAACGAGTAAGGCATATTACAGGAAGTCCGCTGTTACGACTAATTTTCCAGTCCTCTATGAAATGCTGATGTTAAAGATACAAAAATTGCATGTTTATTACGAATTAAAAAATGCTAAGCTTTTTTCTATTACAACAACTTTTTTTTTTAGGGAAATACATTTTCCGCCGTTTAAGTGTGCAATATTGTATGAAAAAAAATTAAATTGAAGACATTTTTATTTATTTCTGATATCAAGAAACGCAAAAGATAACGTCATTTTCTTCTTAGGATTTTAACCCCCCCCCCATTTTTATAAAGCAATGTGTGGGCGACCATAGGTTAAGTTATTGGTTTCCTAACAGAAAAAGTTTCTTCTGTATTTAGAAATCCTGCTACGGTTCCCAATGAAGTGCTGAAAGAGACCTCCTGTCTGTGTTTTAGTCATTTTTCTCGTAATTCTTTGATTTATTATCCTGAGGTCATGTTTTTGGATGGGTGCCGATTTCGAACCATTGTGGCTCAGGGAATCGAGCGTTGGCCTTCCGTTGAGTTGACCTGGGTTCGAATCCCAGCGATGGCTGGTCGATAAGAATTCCGCACAAGGCTCACACAGGTCACAGTGTTGGACTAAAATATCTTCAGTGGTTGACGGATCATGGGTTAGAATAATACCTCCTAGAAGAGAGAATGTCACAGCGCGGCTTACCATAAACAAAAAATATCATCCTTTAGTAGTCCAAACGTAATGACATCTTTCTTATTTGTGCAGTTTATGTTCGTTACGTCGGACTACTAAATTGATCCATGCTGAGACCTACTCTCATCTAGGGGGTGTTGGTTAGAGTTCTTTTGCCGTTAGGTTAACCGTGGAAAGTTTTGATGGTTTTCCTTTCTATGTAACGCAAATGCGGGTTAGTTCCATCAAAAAGTCCTCCACGAAGGCAAATTTCTCCCAAGATTTCCCTTGGGTTCAAAATTAACGATTACAATTTACGATTACCAATGTTAGTCATAAACTCAAAATTTGGTCAGCTGCTCAACGATGTTTATAAAATAAAATAAAAGATACCGAATTTTAAAAAAATGTTCTCTTTTAAAATATGCCTTCACAAATTTTTTGACACAAAAGAAAAGAAAAGAAAAAAAATCCTGAAAAAAATTGATTTGTGTTCAGCACCTTTGAAAAATTAAAATATACTAGAAATTAAAACTCCGTCTATTTTTCCAGGCCCTGTTGCCTGGATTATATGTTTATACAGAGTGGCTGTAGAACAAGGAAAAAAAAAAAACAGGAAATTTAATAATAAAAAATATGAATAAATAAAAAATAAAAAAAAATTGGAAAAAGTCTCGTAATTTTTCGATGCTTATTTTTAACTTTTATGGCCTATATTGATTTGAAATTGTAACTTGCTCTAACTGTCTTATTTATTTTATGTTGAAGAATGACTGAAAAATTAATATTAAGCTTTATGCCACCGGTTACAAAAATCAGGCAAAAATCTCGGAATTTTCTGAGTGCTTGTGTTCGCCTTGGTATATTATAAGTGTTGTGTAGGGGTCGGGGAGTTCATTTTACAAATTCCTAACTCTTTCATAGATCTTATGGCCATGTGAGGAAAATAAGTAATTACTGTCATGATTGGTATTTAAAAATTGGACAGAGGGGGAGGGGAGACACAATATATGCAGGGAAAATACCTTACATAAAGAGTTCTGAAACGATTGCAGGATCTCCTTTGAAAATTTGACACTTGTCAATCAAGTTACTCAACTTTTGACGTGGAATTCTAAACCTTTTTATACTTATGACGTTCATAAAAAAAAAATCATGCTTTTTATTTCCACCTTGTTTATTTTGAATAGTTTGAGTCGAAGTAAAAAGTTGAAAGATCATCCATTGGTATTTTTAAGAATTTACGTCACTAATATTGAGATCGGTCGCATCACTAGAGCATTTTTAGTTATAGGAATTTGTTCTGATTGTTTCTTTCAAATGTAATAGTAGAAATAAGTCAATAAATAGAAATAACATCTCGTTGCTAATGAGTCACAAAAAGTAAGCAAGGGCTTTTAGACTTCTAGGGGAAGGGGGTGTTTTTAAGACTGTGTAATATCTTTAATAGTGAAGAATTTTTTTTTTTTTTAAATATCGAGTAAACTTAACAGTTAATAATTTTATTTTTTTATCGAAAAATCAAGACATATTTAACTCAGCATTAAGTGCATGTTGTTAACGCAGTTATTAGTAAGAAAAATATTGTTAACCATATCTGTAGTAAAAATAACATATTGCTGTTTTACACAAAAAAATTTTTACGATTGGAAATATTAGGTGTTCTTTTTTTCGCTTTTAAAAATTCTAACTATTCTTCCTAAATTTTTAACAAATTATTTTAATATTTTTGTTATTAATCTTGAACATAATATTCAAATAGTTTGGGATTCATTTGAGACTTATTTTACTCTCTACTTACAAGTTCGATGCAAATTTTTGTAAATAAAAAATACTAGAATAAAAAATTTGATGAAAAATAGTACATATATAAAACCATTAGTTCGTAGGAATTTAAATAAATTAAAGGGTGGGATTTTAAATAAATAAAAGGTAAGATAATATAAAAGTTCGTTGCATGAAAGAATACTTTCAAACATTAAAGTCAATTTAAAATAGGACATAAAAATGACCTTCACATAATTAAACTAAACTTCCTAAAGGAGGATAAAACCCAAGCAACCTTGGCTCCAGTTGAACTCAAAATCGGTTCAATGTGGTTCCTACATGAATATCCACTGAAGGAGCAATATTGAGATTTTTTTTAAATATTGATCCTATATAGAGCCAATATCGGCCTATGTTGGTTTTCTCTGGCTGAATAATAAATCTAAAATATGAAGTGAATCTGACAGCTTTATATAGGCCCGATATTGGTTGTAAAGTGGCTGTAAAATACACAATTCTATATAGGGCCAATGTCAGAAAATAACGGCCCTTTTAAACCCTTATTGAGCCAAGATTCGTGAATATGGTTCCAATGTAGGCCCAAGTTATTTTGTTGGTAGGGAGTATACTTAGAGTGTTACTACTGAAGCAAAAACAACGTGAATAAAGTACAGAAAAAGTTATAGTTTTTGTACTTTATTTGTATTTTATTTACATTGTTTTTTGCTTCAGTAAGCCGAACTTTTTCATTATGAAAACTTATGATGTTATTTTATATGTGCAACACTATTTCCTATTAATGTTTGTGTAAATTAGGACTTTAATTAGATTGTAACTATAATTAAAAGCTCTATAGAAATACCAATTCCCACCCAACATTTTGAATAACATCCTTTTCATGTCTCCTTCTTTGGGCGACGAGGGGGGCGGGACGAAAGAAAAGAAGGGAATGTGTCCCTTTTGTATGGGACTTTCAAGGTCTTCCCTCATTGTAATGAAACAACCCACACTTTTGAGGGTATTATAACTGACCACCAGGGGCTACTTTTTCATAAATGTCCTTTATCACTCACCTTTTCCAATCCCCAAACATAGACCTTTGACGCTTGAGGATGAGGGGTCCGGACTCTAATTTCAGTAATTTCTTCTGAAAGAATTCCTAAATTACGAAATACAAGTTATGTATTTATTTTAATCTGTAAATATTTATTTCTTGAATTTTGATTATAGGTTGCATTCAAACGTCTAATGACACAAAGCTGAAGTTTTATTCCTATTACAAGCAAGCTACTGCAGGACCATGTGAACTCTCAAAACCTGGTTTTTGGGATGTTGTCAATCGAGCAAAATGGTATCCAATATTCTTATCTGTTTTTTTAACTGTTTATTTATTATTATCATTTTTAATTTCTTGACATGGCATTCAAAATTAAATTCTATTTAACCTTCATAGGAGGGTTTTCTGGATTGTAAATTTCAATATTGGTACCTGCGCCAAAATAATCGCCAAGTTAAGGATATTTTCCGGCAGTGTTCACGCTAACAGTACCGCTGTTTGGCGCAATTAGCGCTGATTTTTGCCTAAAGTTGGCGACTTTTTAGCGCAAGCGATATGGAAATTTTTCAAGCAATTTGGTAGCAAATTAATTGCTTCCTTTTAAGTGTGGAGAGTAAATTTAAAAAAAATATTGAAAATTTACAATTAAAAATAAGATTTTAACTACTAAATTTCGATTAATTTTCTTATTAGAGGGTTTCTGTTTTTTAAAAAAAAATGTTCCAGTACTATTTTATAGAATTTTAACAAAAATCAAAGATTGCCCATTTCTGTCTATTATTTAACAGATTCCAATATTTTTATGTAATTCGTTTTAGTTTAAAACTTTTTAGTTTTTAAATGGGTTGAATTTTACTCACAAGTATTATATGAATCCTATATTTCATTATTTAAATGAAATGTTTTGTTTAAAACTTTATTCTGTTAGCTTTTATTGGTTCTTGATTGCTGGGGATATTATTGGGGGGGGGGCAAGTGCTTTTGCTCAATTGACTGAAATTTCACTATTATCAAAATTTTTATTTATGTAAAAATGATTTTCTCAGTTTTTAAATTTTTTTTAGTAAACGGACATTAATTTTTATGTTAATCACCTCAATAGCTCACAGTTTTGTTTACAAAGACTTGGTATAGCTTTCAGCTTTCTTGTCTTAATTGTAAGTTTTTGTTATAAAAATTGATGTTATACCTAAAAGTTTTTTTGCAAAATGAAAATTTTCACAGAATGGTGAATAGAACTATTTTTTTGCCGAAGTTAATTTGGAAAAAGTTATATTTATTAATACAGTGATCTCTGATTCTGAATAAGGTAGTCTCTGACCCAAAATTAACTCATTTGTAACTTTCAATGTCTTGGCATACAAAGATCTATGATAGTTGATAGTCAAGTTCAGTATATTAATCTCTATGAGATTACTTTATTTGTTCTTAAATAATTTATGCAGTAGTGCAGGGTATCAGCTTCTATCCACTTTTGAAAAAAAAAAATTTAAAATTAATTTAATTATTATTTTAAACAGCAATTTTTAAAACTATTTTTGTTTACTACTTTTTACGTCAGAATTCAGAAGGTAAAGTATGTAAAGATAATAATGCCTAAATAATAAAAACTTTATTTACTATTTTTGTTAATTTTTAAGATATAATAATTTTTAACTTGAGGGATTGTGATCTTAATTAAAAGTTGCTATGATTTTATTTATTCAATGGTTAGTTTGTTATAATTAGAATATTTTAACCATTTTAGTTGGAAACATTAAATATGCGAGCCACACAATTTTATTGAGTAATAAGTTTAATGTATTTTAATAGAGCTTTGATTATTAAATGTCTGTAATAACAATATGATTTAAATTAAAAGAAAGCTTTTTTTTTTTTTTTTTTTAAATATCGTGATTTTTGTTTATTCTAGTTCTAAGCTTCAAAATGAAAATTTTGTTGAATTGCTAACTGTTTTGATTTTTACTCTAGGGATGCTTGGCACAAACTAGGTAATATGTCAAAAGAAGAAGCCATGAAAGGCTATGTTCAAGAATTTGTGAAAGTAAACTAAAATTTTAATTAATCTATCTTTGATTTTGTTTTTAAAGATTAAATTTTGGTTTTAAGCCATGTCATATTTTTATTGTTGTATTTGTTGAGTGTGCTTTTTTTTAAATCTTTAATATGGGAAAGATAACTTTGTTTTGATAAAACCTGATTTTTTGAGCATCAAATTATAACATTAATCAAAGTTATTATTTTTTTCACCTTGCTTCAAGAGAATGCTTTGCAGCCAGAGAAACTCTTTTTGGCAAATTCTTTTCTACCTACTTCAGTAATTTAAATTTTAAGCAAAATGAGTTCAGGTAAACCAAAAATAAAGTCTCAAGTGTTGAATTTTTTCTTCAAAATATCAAAATACAAACAAATTTTGCAATAATTAGTTTGCATTATGATATTTCAAAAGCATTTTTTCAGCATTTGAAACTTCATGGCTTTCTCTAGTTTAACTCACTTTTCTCTAACATTTAAATTTCAAATGGCAATGGAGGTGAAACAGATTATGCCATTTAAAGATTCTCCCATGGTGTAGCATCCTTTTGATGCCACAAAAATGTTCAATCAAATGTAAAACACTTTCAGTTGAATCTAGATCAGGATTTCTTAAACCATGTTGATGTATTTCGGGTTTTCGAAAAACCTGCATCTTGACATTTCTATATTTTTTATCTTTGACATCATGTCCACATTTATATAAACTTTTAGTCACTTAAATATGTTTTGTGTCTCATTCTAGATTTTAAAACAATTGAAAGTTTTCTTTTAATTTGCAACTGAATCCCATTGTGCTTTATTTATCTTGATATTTGTTATTTGGTTTTCACCCATTTAAAGACTAGTTACACGTATCAATTAATTTTTTTTTTTTAAAAAAAACTTTTAATGGCATCTATATTAATGAATGGCTTAATTTGTGTTGATATAATTTTTAATACACATGAGAAGTATGCTGTCCACGAACTTCGATAATTTTTAAATGTCAGTTTGAAACTATTTTCCCACATGATTTGTGCCATCTTCTGAAAACTTTAAAGAATACAAAAAATAAAAAATATGCCAATGAAGGGTTTTGTTTACATAATGTTCATAAATGTGGGTAACAGCAAGGTTTGTGTGAGATAACAAAGCTAATACTGGGGAGGTATTATCTCTCGAATGTTATACGATCATTCAATTTATTATTTATTATTGAATTTTTTAGTTACTAACACAGGATTTATAAATTCGGTTGATTTATAAGGACAGATGTTCAAGGGTATGAATAATTCTTTACAGCTGGTAAAATTTAGAATATTAGTATACTAAATTTTATTTGCTAGTATTAGTATTCTTATATATAAAAATAAGTTAGTAGCATAAATTTACTGGAACATATATGCATTAAATTTTCTATTTCGTATATTTTAAGTTAGCATTAAAAATTCTATAATATTTTGAAGCTAAGTAAATAATTTTATTCAATTAAAACAAAACTCTATAGTTTTGTTTTTAAAATTGATTTAAATTAATGATTTAAAAAAAAAAAAAAAAAAAAGAGGTATAAATAGTGAGAGTTGCAGCAAAATAGGAGTGAGTGGGGTATTTTTTCTCCCAAGTATATCTCAAACAAATATCAATGCTCTTAAGTGTAAAAATGAATCGTAAAAAATTCACCCATAAAATAAAATGCATGTAAATGAGTGAGGTTTGACGTTTTAGGGGTTCACTTTGTCATTTAGCGAGATGTGCCACAGTTACCACAATAATTAAATAAAAGTAATCTTTTATGTAGATAAAGCTTAATTTGGTGAGTAACATTAGATTAATGCATGTAATAGTGTTAATTTGCAGAACGCTACAAATGTTGATTTTTTTTAAAGAAACAAATATACCTTAATTTTTTTTTTGTATTCTATTTTTATGTAAGTTATTTTTATTCATTTTATAAATTTTTGTATCGATGCTACATAAATCATACGAACCGAAATAGGCCACCATAATTTATACCCTGGTCCTTGAACAGTGTTAATTATTATACAAAAAAGTAGAACTATTTAATAGAATAAAAAATGAGAAAAAAGTTTTTTTTCCTGCTGGTCATCTTGTTCTTTTATTCATTTTCTTCTAATGTATTAGTGTAAGCCTCGATGTTTTGTTGATTTATGGTTGTGAGTTGAGTAAATTTCTTACAAACTGTTTGCATTACTAAATATACTCATCTTACTTTCGATTAGTTATCTAAATACACCCTACGTTTTTACTCTCTGCATTTATCAGTACACTTTGCAATTAAAATTGTTCTCTCATTTTAAGTAATGTTAAAACAACAGGTGATCCAAGAGACACCATTGGAATCATTGGATGATCCAAGCCTAGTGAATGATTTCATTGGAATGATGGGACCTTATATAGAATATGCTCCAGAAGAGATTAAGAAGAAGCACCTCAAGATTAATGGAAAAGCAAATGGATTAAACAATAACTCTGAAGGTGAGCAACATTTCATTCAAATGATTAAATTTATACAAGTTATTACAATAAGTCTGTTTTTGTGTAACCTTTTGGAGATGGCTGGTACGACAGTTGTATCATAATTTTTTTTTCTTCTACTGTATTTGTTTTGTCTTCAAAATAATATGTATCTCAACATAACATAACATGTCTCTCATATATTAAATGCTTTTTACATAAAAAGAAAAAAAGGACTAAGGGTAAAATTGTTGTACTTCAAAAAGTTAAATAAATATAAATATAGGGGCCATCTTCAAATGATGTTATACTTGTGTGTTTGTGAAATTGTGTTTGTTTATGAAAAGGGGAAAGAGAGTAAAGGCCTGTTTAGACGATCCAATTTCTTGGACAGAGATTGATTGATATTGATGGAAACTTGTTTTGCTTTAAGCTTTGATCGTGTAAACAAACATCCAAGAACTTGGTCCAACTTCTTGGACGATAGTAGAGCATGTTCTACTTTCCATCCAAGTTTTTTCTCCCTTAACCAATCAGCGTCTTAGGTTTTGTGACGTCAACAATCAGGCAGCAAATTATGTCATCTTCCTGTCTGTTTTCATATATTTTAGTCCAAATAAATTGATCTGTTGCGATTCATTTGTGTTATTATGATTTTATTTGAATTTATTTAGTTATTTTAAACTTATGTAAGTATTATTTTATAATGTTGAATATGAACAATGCGCATGCGCGAGTTTTTCTTTTAACGAATCAGCGACATTCAAGAACTTGGATAGTGTCAACGAATCATCCAATTTCTTGGACAGAGAAATCCGTCCAATTTCTCGGATTCAAGAAATTGGACCGTGTAAACAGGCCTTAAGTAAGTCTTAACTAAGAGTAGAAATTTAAGAAGTATTTGTTTAAGTAATTTAATTTCTGACCCTGGGGAAATTGTGACCGCTGCCATTTTTAAAAATTTTTACAGGGTAAGAAGTTAAAAAACTGCATTATCTAGTTTATGTGTATATTTTATTTTTGTTTATATATTTCTGAGATAAAAATTTTAAGACAATATTTGAATAATTCTAAAAGAAAACTATGTATTTCTTTAAAAAAAACTGTTTTGGCACATGTTGATTCAAAGTAATTTCAACTTAACCAAAAATCTTTGTGGTGAATGCGAATGATTTTTTTTGGAGGGGGGAGCATACGCAAAGTGCAAGTTAAATCTATTGTGGCTGAATGTCCTCTCGTTGGTTGTGGTATGGAAGTTTAAAGAGAGGGGTACCAGCTTAAGCACTGTCCAGGTTGTCTGACCAGGGTTCAAATTACTTGACATTCCTACCTTGGTCATTAAACGATAGAACCCTTAATAACGGGGCTAAGTGCTTGGCCGTGGTTGGGTGGTGTGTGCTTTAGTCCGATTGACATTACAAGTCACCAGATTAGCATAATATACGCGACCACAGGAAAATTTGTCATCATAACAGAAACTTCTTTTATATTACTCATTATTATACAATGTATACTCTGATTATTACGTTGCACTAAATTGTAGAGTATGCTTTAAAAATATACAATGTATAGGTATTTTGAATATTCATTGTGTATGTATACTATTTGAAATAAGAAATATCCAATATATGTAAGTAAAAGCCAATTAATTTTTAAAAAAATCGAATATAATGAAAGAAAATTTGGTAAGTCAAAAACTAGTTTTATATTTTCCAAACACTACTAAATTTAAAGAAAAATATGCTGGTATGTATAAAAATGAATGCAGAGTGTAATTAAAATTAAAAGACTTTAAAAAGTAGTGGGTATTTTTCAAACAAATTTCGTGAAACTTAGGTAGCGTCTGATAGGGTTGAAACTTCTTACAAAAGTCAATAAATTGCTTGCAGAGAGTTTTTTAATTGATACTTTGTGTTCGCCGAAAGTTTACCATTTTATTGAAATCTGCAAGTCAGTAATTAATGTAAAATATGAGATGTTAAGCATTTGATAGTACAAGGAAAGCGATAATGTTTTTCTTCTATTTTGGATTTGTTTCAGCTGAATGCGTTGAAACACTACATTTCAGTATCTTTACTGTTGAATCATTGAATAAGGAATATAAATTGAAAGTTTAAAATGTTCTGCATTTTAAATAATTTTTTTACAATTTCAATGTGAATCTTTTGAATTTAAAAAAATAGGAGAGGAGTGTATAAACATCAAGACTTTTAAGGAAATTCATTAGTTGTCGTAAATTTTTTTTTTATTTAAAATAATTTTTAAAAGTTGTTTGATTTAAAGATTCATGACTTCTGTTAAATGTATATGTGTTCTCTCTCAATATTCTTTATAGTTTATGGTGTTAAACAAGATTAATCTATGTTCATAGTAAAATAAAGTCATTTTTCTGATAAGAATTTTCTTGCAACCTTAAAATGTGAAAATATATGAAACTTCCTCCAAATATTTTTATCTTTTTCTTTATAGATTATGTGGAAGATTTCAGTAACTCTAGATTACCTCAATCGTCAAATGATTACAGCAACAGAATGTCTGATGATGGATCTGGTTTGTGTTGTATTATTGCTCATTATTACTAAGGCTAAGGTGTTGACCATATATACATTTTTCATATAGGAAAAAATTTTTATATAGGACATTATTCATGGTTATCTTTTTTTTTTCTTTTTTTTTTTGACTTTATAGATTTTCTAATAATTTTTTTAGTTATTTTTTTATGAATTTTGAATGTTTTACATTTCAAGCATATTTTACTTATGAATTAATTCCTTTTAAAAAAAAAATACGCATAAATTTTGCACTGAATCTTCTTTTAACTATCTTTCCAAAAACAGATGTTGATGTTGAACAGAATTTTTTTCAATATATAAAAATAAATTGCTTTTGACAATAGGCAATTTTTTAATTTTAAGAATATTAAAAATATTTGATATAATTCAGTTGTTTTTGAAGATTGTAAGTAAAAATAAATAAATTCCTGTTTCAGGTACATCAACACTTATTTAAATTTTTGTATTTACATTACATTTCTTATTATTTACATTACATTTTATTTACATTTTTATTTTTGCTTATTCCACTTATTTTTTTTTAAAATTTATTTATAAATTAAATTTTCTTAGTAATCATTGTATTTTTTTTTCTTAATTTGTAAGTAAGGGCAACAGATTCTAATTTTTTTACTTAAAAACATACAAAACATGTTTTCAAAAATTTTTAAAGACATTATTTATCATTTGAGATTATTTTTGTCTTTTTTTTTAAAAAGGGAATTAAGAATTTTTTGGCTATCAGCATCCTAGCACTAATTTATTATTAATTATTTATGAATTTTGAAATTATTTTTTTATTTATTTACTTGTTTATTTGCATAAAAAGCAACTTTGTTTTTTAGATAATTCCTTGTTTTTTTAATACAATTAATTTTATTTATGGCAATAAATTTTTTCATGTGGTTTGAGAATAAATCTATTATATAATTCTATTCCCTGTATTTAATTCATTTCATGTTATTTTCTTTTAAATCAAAACTTTTCAACAAAAAAAAATATAAATATTTCGTAATATTTCATATTTTGAATTTTTATTATTTCATTTATAAATTTTTTTTGCAAAATTCAAGAAATTTATAAATATTTTTAAATCATATTCCAACCTACAGATATCTCAGGTGTCCAATTTTTGAGACGCACAAAATTAAATTAATTGTATACTTGCAATAGCTCTTGAAATTTGGTGCCCAAAAAGAAATTTGACACCCAAAAAATATTTTTTCATCCTCTAAATATTTGCAACAAATGATTGATGTTCATAAATTAGCTATTTAGTTTGATAAAAATTAATGCATTTGTTTCTGAAATATTTAGAGAAACTTATTCAAATTATTGTTGAGGATGGAAAAAATTATAGACTTTTTAATTAATGATGGGAAAAAAAACATCCACCTTGCCAACAATACCCATATGTAAACCCTTTGACTCAAAATTTTCATATAACATTGTTTTCCTACGTTTTTCAATATTTTGTATTAATTTAGGTAAAAGTAAGTGAAAAATATTATATTTAGCATTTGAATAATTTTTGGTTAAGAAATACAGCATCGGACACCAGTGTCCCTTTTTCATTTCTATGTAAACTTTTCCAAATAATAATTTTTTCAAATTTGCAGTTATTTAAGCGAAAGTGAAACAGTCACCTTTTTCCCACATGGTGACATCCAGGGCATTTGTTATGCACCATTTTTTAAATAATGTATTATAGTTTTTTCAAGGCAACCGATAACCATTTTGAAATTTTCGTTTTTGAATTTTTCCACTTTTGATTCTAAGCTGCATCTAATTTTTAGTACAATGGAATAAAAAGTGCAGATTCAAATAAGTAATCCAGGAAAAGAATCATATTAAAGAATTATGTTTTGAAACTATTCTTGTTTTGTTTGTAAGATTCATTTTACCAGCAGAAAATAAATTTTGGATTTTTTCATTTGATTCATATTCAATTTGATTAAATATTTGTATGAAAACTGTAACGCAGATTTTTGAAATAAAAAAAAAGGTCTATTGGAATAAACAAATGGTTTCATTGATGAAATAGAAATATTTAAAAATGGAGTAGCAAAATATAAATTATACTAATAATAGGAATTAAAAATTCTTTATAAAATAGATTTAAAAATGTAAAAAAATTATGACTCATTCTGAGGTGAAAATGTTATCAGAAATATGTACTCATTTCAATAGGTACACATATTTGCGTTTTATTTTGTGTTTATGATAATAATTGTTGAGCATTAAAATACAAAAAAAATGATGTTTTGATTTGTTTTTATTTTTGAGAAAGTTTGATAACTCATCTCTCTAATTCCTAAAATTTTAGTGATAAATACTATTTTAAGATTATGAGTTAAACAAAACCCACATTATTTGAAACTTCTTGTATGCTGGTGTTATCATCAATTCATTTAATCTCTTTTTCATAGATTCGCTAATTTAAATATTAAATTGTCCTACTAAAATGAATTTATATGAATGAATTATTAATCTCGTGAGTACTGGAGGGCACATGAGCATTGCAAGCCCTGTAAATTGAATGACTTTCTATTAACTTTTTGTTTATGTTGACATTTTTTACGCTTTTTCTATGTTTTAATGCTCTAATGTTTATAATCTTTTAATGTTTTCATGGACATTTTTAATTAGATGTTGATTTATGTTCAGTGTTTATTCTCCCAGTATGCTTGCATGGAGAGTTGGAAAGTTCCCATGAATGATATATGTATCGAGTTCTTCTGCTAAAAATAAAAGTTATTAATCTTTTTTATTTGTTTTTCAGAGAACTATGCTTCACCTGTAAATGGCCATAGTCTGAATGGGGGAAACGAGAGTGACAGTGACATATTTTCAGATACGCTTGAAGGAGTTAATGAGGTATAAGCCTAAGATTGTAAATGTTTCACTTAAAAAATGCAGACAGCCACAAAATCTTTTATTATATTTATAATTTTCAGTTTCCATTCTCTGAAAGTTTCATAAGTTTTTAAGTATTTTTCTTAAAATTTATTTAGGGCATGTAAGCAGAGTCAAATTTTTTGGTTACTAGTTTTTAGTTAGTAGCTTTCTTTCTAAATCATTTCTGAAAAATGTTGATTTTGAGAAAATTTCTTTACGCAAACACACATTATAAAAAAAGTGTATTATAGAAATCTTTAAAACTTTGTATGTAGATATTGTGCAGTGTTACCTATGTTTTGTGATAAGAGCTAAGGTCTTAAGTGTGAATTTATTATTTTTATCATTTAATAAGGATGTTTAGAATTTTTCTTAAAAAATCTATATTGAACAATATATTTAGTTCTATTTAATTGTATATTTGAAATTTTTGAAGATTTTAGTTCAAAACACTGGTCTAGAGAAAAAATATTTGGATATTTTTGCTTTGTAATTTGTTATAGAGTTGTTATTGTGTTGTAAAATATTTGTAGTTCTTACCCTCAAATTTGCCTTTATTTCAAAAAATTAATTTATAAATTTCTAATGTTTTCTTTTGATTTATAATTTTAGGACCCCTGCTTTCTAAATCTGAAATTAAAATTTATATTTAGGCTGTTAAACCTTTTGCTTATGGAGCTTACCACGATGAAGTCATTCTGGTCCACTTATTGTACCAGCCTTAAGCAAAGGGTTCAAAAAAATTATACTGAAATCTAGTTGGAAACCATAACCTAAGCCATAAGATTTTTAAACTTAATTTTGTTTTTGTAATTAAGTTTCATTCTTAATAGGTCTCTAATGCAGTAATTTTTTTTAAAATTAAATGTTTCCATTTTCCACTATCAATTCTAATAGTTTTGTAAAATTCACTTTTTATTACATTAGAATGATTTTAAAATTGTTTAATAGTTAATCGCACATATAAATTCAATTATTTCACCTTTAAGGATGATCCAGAGGAAGTCTTTGCTTCCAATAGCAATCCCATGAGTAATAATCCAATGACACAAAGCAAGGGACCAAGTATTATTAATGTACGTGGAGGCGATCACAGGCTGGGTACCCGAAACGGTAATTCTCCGGCTAACGCATCTGGCAGCCGTGGTAATCAGTCCACTCAACAATCTGCTAGTAAGTATACATACAGTTTTAAATCTGTTTGCAATTCATTGCAATTTTTGTAAACTGTCTGTATCATTTGTCAGAAAGTGTTAAAATTTATGGTCTATTGCTATTATTATTTTCAGTCTTTATTGAGCTAATTTTACTGAATGTGTTTTGTTGAAAATTCAATAATAGTAAACAAAAGTTATATTTAAAAAAAAAATGACAATATTTAAAATTTAAAACTTTTTAAGAAGAAGAAATTTAATTGCTATTTAAAAAAAGTCTTAAAAAACATCATGATGTTCTTTTTTTTTTTTTTTAAACCAAAAACTATTGAATAAAAGTAGCAAAATAATACAGTGTTTGCCACTAATAAAATTACTGGATTATAAAATGTGTAATATTTTAAAAGCAAATCTGCCAGGAAAAAAAGTCACTACAATATCAAAACATGTTAAAACCATTCTTAAATAAAGCCATGATTTATATTTTATAAAATTAAGCTTTTGGTTAATACATATTTTAAAAGGAAACATACTTTATTAGAAGGAAACATACTTTATGAATACGTAGAATTTATTTTCTTCTAAGTTTTGCAAGCTATTTAGAGATGTAGAGACTTTAGATGACTTGATTACTCTTCTCTTGATCAAATGATTAGAGGAAATCAAAGGATTAGAGTTAAAAAAAAAATAAAAAGGGGAGGGGTTGTGTAAAATAAATCTAAATGGAAACATCTTGCGAATGAAGAAAGTTATTGAATGAGTCTACAGCAGATTTGCAAAAGAATGCAAATGTAAATAAACTAAAAGCTTATGTATTCGTTATTTAACTAAAGGATTTCCATTATATAAGTTATTTTGTTGACCAAAAGAGAAAAAAAAGTGGGACTGAAATTTTGATGAAGAATTTTAAATCCTGTAACTAATCGCATTCTATTATGCTTCAATGTTGAGTAGAGGTTGAGAGTTAATCTATATTATTACACACATTTCAATATTATATTTGTTATTACCCAGTTCATAGCTGCCAACTCTACTGGATTTTGCCAGTTTCTCCTAGTCTAATGGTTTACTTAAAATTCTTCTAGTTTTTGTACATTTTAGAAAATTCCCTAAAATGGAGTAACATTCCTAAAAATCCCCATTGAAATAGAATTTTTGTACAGATTATTGCTTTCTTGCTAGAATATTTAAATAAGTATGTCTAATACATAATGAAGCGAACCTCATTAATAGAAATCAGTTCAAAACTGTTTTTGCTCTAAAATGTTTAGTTTATTTTTATTCGGAACTCTCTTTTTTAATTAATTAACAAAAATCTTTTAACTATCTTTGAAGAATCAAATGCCTATTAATATTCCAAATGATCAGTCAACATAGTACATAACATTTCAAGTATGTTTAATGTCAATCATAACTGGAAAATATTGCAGTTTTTCTATACTGATGACTTTAAAAATCCCTAAAATTCCTTATGTGTAAAATATTTAGTACATTATGCAACAATTATGAGATTTATATTATTTCATAAAATCTGCTAGATTTTGTCCTATCCATGTTGACAGCTGTGTTAGTTATGTTTGCTATTTTATTTGTTGCCTACTGGTGTGCCAAAATCGTATGATTTGAATGCAAAAGATAAAATTCAATATTTTGATTTATTGACACTTCAAGTAATATTTTGAATGTTATTAAATCTTACATTAACTTTCAAATAATGCTGATTCTTTCTTCATCTAGGTATATATTCGTAAGCAAATATTCATAAAATAAAAAATGAGGCTTATGTTTAATCAAAATATTTGTCAAATGTAATTAAAAATTGTTAATATGAAATAAAAATGCAGTAATTTAACTTTTAGTGGGTTTGTAAAGTTTAATTTGATTTGTTAAAATTTTTTTATTAAGTGTTATTTATTTTTTAAAATTAGCCATTTTTTAAAATCAGATAACTACAAAAAGAATGTGATTTTTTTTTAAAGCGGTGGGCACTGTACTGAATTTAGGTACCAATGACTAATTCGGGTACTCTGGGGTTATCCTGTCAACCATTTTCGTGATTTGTATTTCCCCGTTGACAGTTTCGTGATTTGGAAGTACTCCATCAACCATTTTCATACTTATTGGTTATCCCACCGATCATTATCGTAATTTGGGATTATCCAGTCAAACATTTTCGTACTTTTGGATTATCCCATCCACCATTTTCGCCAAACCGAATATTATCACCTGGCGGTAGCTTCTGTGCCAATAACTGCAAATTTACTACAACACACTAAAGAACTCTGGTAGTAAAGAATTATATTTACTGTATAATTCTTTACTACCAGAGTTCTTTAGTGTGTTGAAATATACTTTTTTTTTTTTACTCTGCAAAATGATTCGAATTTGGGATTTGCCTATCACTGAAGAGAGTGCAGTGGCATAAATCATTTCAAGTTTTTCCAAGTTTTTAATTTGTTTTGATTCTTTTTATTACACTTTTTTATGACTTATTTTTATGCTTAAATTTTTTGTTATTATTATTTTGATAAATTTAATGTGTTTAGAATGTTTATTTTGAAAATTGCTTTTCAATATGAGGGCGCCAAAAATCATGTGTGCATTTTTGCGAACGATGACAGGTGGATAGTATAATCCAAAAGTATCCTAATTTTAATTAATGTTACTTCACATTTTATCTACTCTTGTTTTAGTTTTTTTTTCAATTTAAATTATGTCTTTAATACGTATAGTTTTATCACACAACAACTATAAAATCATTTCATTGATGAAGAAACTTTTTAATATGGTCTATTTTGCAATGACGTGGAGACTATGCTGTAATTACAATTTACAGTTGAACTTTTTAAATGTAAGTCAACATGCAAAATTCTATATTACTGATATAATTTTTTTTTCTGAGTGACAATAAAAAAATTGAAACTGAATCTGTGATAGCTGAAAAAAAGTAAGAAAGTCATGCATGAAAAGGAAGGTAACAAAATTTAAATTTGTGGGTCCTTCATTAATTATTAACTCTAGATCAAACCTTAGAGAAAGTTAAGAGGTTTTGCTTAAAGAAAAAAAAAAACATAGTTGTTACACCCCTGTTGCTGTATTTTATTGAGATATTACAGCTTAAATAAAAATAATGTTCGAATATAATTTTAGTAGAAAAGTTATTTTTTAAAATTTGGAAGAAAAAAAATGGAATTGTCGAAATGTTAAATTAGTAGAGCAAAGTTAACAGGTGAACAGGAATTAAAGTTTCAGGAATCAGTTAAAGTGAACAGGAATTATGTGTCTCATGTTTTGACAGATTTCAGTCTTTTAAGACTGTAAAATAAAGTGAAACTGAGCAAGATAAGAATTAAAAAGTAATGAATTATGATAAAAAAAAAGTTTAAAACTTATATGGTAGCAATAAATTTTTATTTTGTTTTAAAAAATTGCAAATGAGAGGTTTGGATTTGTAGTTACATTTTTATTATAAAGTACTACTGAAATATGTTATGACCCTTGAAGTATGTATTGGAATATAATAATATTACTATATTGGAATATAGTAATATGTTAAACTTTAATTGGATTTTAAACATTTTGTAAAATTAGAATTATGTTAATCATAAAAAATCCATTTTCTAATTGTATCTTTCAGAACTTTTGATTTCAAATTTTAATTTAAATTAAATTTTATTTAATTAAAAAATTTGATTTAATTTTGATAGAAAAAATGAGAAAGCGAGGAAGGCTGCGGTAGTGATGACTTGATTCGGTTCTGTTTTATTTATTTATTTTCTTTTTTTTTGCAATTGCGGAAGATAATTGGCATTTGCCCACTTTGGGCTGTCTGGCCAACTTTGATGATGATAGAAAAAATTAGATTTGATTTTGAGTTTTTGCTTGCCAGCTTGTTAAATTATAATTTTTTTTATTATTTTTTTTTTAAAAAAAATAGGCTCTAATTGGGCTCTGCAGGCAACTTCAAGCAGCACCTACCTAGGCAGTGCAGGAGGTAGTAGGAGGAGTGGTGGAGGATTGCCAACAGAGCTAGCTTCAGATGTGAATGAGCAATTAGCCCTTGCCGTCATTCGATTGCAGCACACAATGGAACAAGTTGTACTCCGCCTCGATTCCCTAGAAACTCTGCTTACTCAAAGGAGCAATATTCCTAATCAGGTGTGGTATCAGCAATAAACCCTTCACTTTTTAAAGAGTTTAGTTATTTTTAGCTTAGTTTGGATCCTATTTGCTTTTGTTAAAATTAAATTGGTGTGCACTTTTTCCAAATAGTTATGATTTAAAAGAAGTTATTACCCTATAATAAATTTTTTTAGTATTAAAAAGATAGTATTTAATTTGGTAAAAATGAAATTCACTTTTTACAAATAATTAAGATTTAAAAGAAATTATCCCACTTTATATTTTCACTACCTACCAGAAAGATCATATTTGCTTTGGAAAAAATTCTGTCTATTTTTTAGGATTATTCTGTCTTTATTTGAAATAAAAAACACTTATTTCCATTATAATTAAATTTATTCAGTATTAGAAACATCATATTTGTTTTGGAAAAAATTGTGTGCTTCTTTAGGGCATTTTAAGGCGAATACCTATGGTAGTTTTTATTTATCCTCGTAACACATGAAACAACACACCTACTGAAATAATTTGTTTATATTAGATTTATAAACAAGGTACCCAAATTATATTGTTACTTCTATTTTTTTGTTTTGTTTTCCTCCTTTAAGTTTTTAATCTATTATCTTATGTTTTGTTTATATTTTAATAAAAAATCTTAAAACATTTTACTAATGCGTTCATATGTGCATACTCTAAATTGAAATATTAGTTTATTCCCTGTGATTTCCAATGACATCAAAGTTTGAGTCAACTAAACTTGTTGAATGCACAGAATAATGCATTCTTAATCATAATATAAATTTGATTAAATTATTGTATTCCGAAATTTATTTCTTCATAATTATAATATTATTAATATTGAAATAAAACGTTGCTGGATGTATTTTAAATTTGAATTAAGATACAATATCTATAACTCTCTTGCTCTACTTGAACTAAAGAGGACGCTGTGGAAATTTTTCATATTAATTCTGTTAGAATAACACTGTGAAGTTTTAAATGCTGAAAGTTGTTTTTCAAAATAGCAAAAGGAAAATAAATTATTGCAGAATCATTTCCCCTTTCCCCCAGCATAATCTGAGAGTAGGATTTACGCCAGAATGATGACAACAATTGTTGCCTGATGTTCTACGAATGATGCAAAAATGATACACATGGGTGACAAAATTATTGCCTTAAAATATGTTTGAAAATTTCAAAACAGTAACGAAAAATACTTTATTTGAAATCTAAATCCATGCATTTTAAAAAAAATTGTGCTCATTTTATTCTATGTATTAGTTAGGCTTCAGTTTTAAGATCAAATGGAATAACTGAAAAGTGCCTGGTTCAAAAAAAATTTTTAAATTTCACATTTAGATGTTGTGCTGTGCTTTGAATTCATATGCTGACAGTGTGATTGTTCATCCATAAAACATAATTTTTTTCCCTTTTAAAATTTACTTTCCTTAGATTTTTTAGATAATTTTTAATGTCATATTTTGTTAGTTTTTACTTTCTCTGTTTTCCTCATTTATTTTGTCTCAGCATTTTAATCTTTTTTTTGAGTCTATTTACTAATATTGAAACTTTTTTCACCTAATTTTAATGAATTCTAATCTTCAATCATTATAGAGTAATGAACTTAATTAATTTTAGGATGTCATAGATGGCAATTAATAACTTTGATGAGTACCATGACTTGAATTATGCACTATCAGAGTTCAATATTTTTTCCTCAAGTTTTTCTATCATAATAATTTTTTGGACTACTAAATGAATACCTATTTAAGCACTAAATTTCCATTGCTGGTGTAGAGTAATCTAGCCATACTTTGTTTACAGGATTGTCACTCCATAGGGAGAATAGGGAATTTGAAAATCACCAAAAATCACAGGGGATTTTGAGTTTTTCTTAAGAAACTTGAAAAATGCAGGGAATTTTGTTTCTTATTTTTGTCTTTTAAAAAATAGTACCCACTCAAAGTGCTATCTATGGGATATTTTAGGATGATATTTCAGCTATATTAAACTAGTTCATTTATTATATCATTATTTGTTTTAAGTATGTTCAGCTGTTCCTTAATTTTTTTCTGTAATTAAAACTAGTAGAATTCGATCAATACAGCTCACACAAGAGCACAGAGATTTTGTTTTTCCTCTTAATACATTGTATATAATATGTACAGGGAAAATGCAAGGATTTTTTTCCCCAGGAGAGTGGCAATCCTGGTTTACATTTTGATATCTGGAACATGGTGCGTAGCTTTTTTAAAAAGTGCTTATTTTAGATTTTCGTTTTTTAGAAGCATTTAAAGGTGCTTTTTTCATTGGGTGTTTTTGAAAAGTACTTCATTTTCGAAAAGGAAATTTTTTTGTTTACCATGCCTATTTTCGCCATGTATTATGCAAAAGCTTACTTTTCACATTGTTCTATTCAACGTTTTCACAATTCATTTAACCACAATCCATTTCGGCATACCGTCGGTCTGTAGCATATGAAAGCACTAATCATTTTACATGTTTGAGGAAATACTTGCGAGTCCGCATGTACATCTACTGAGCTGGGTTCGTTGAGATTCTTGCTCTCTCGTGTGCAACTCTGCTGCATTTTGCAAGATATTCTCGATTTCAGGCTTCATTTCCCCTCCTCTGATATCAAACCAAAAAATCTCTTGATCATTTTATAATAGCTTATATAATAATAATAAAAAAAGAGCTCTTTGCCAGAAACTAGTTATTTTGTAATGTTTGAAAACTATTTTGCATTTTGTTAACGTATATAGTGCTTAAATATATTTTGTGAGTGCTTGAAAAATACTTAAAAGGTGCTTATTTTTTATTGAAAGATTTGGTTACTCACCCTGTGGAAAGAAAATTTTGAGCAATAAACTTCATGGCTTACTCAAATTCACTTTTTCTATACTTTAAGTAACTTATGCGAGCTAATGCCAATTTGCCACGAAGCAATTTCTCTGTGGTGTCCGTTTAATGTAAGACTTGTATAGTTTCCTCCTGCGCAACAACTGTTATTCTGGGAAGAAAAGTTGAGTCAATAAATGTTTGTACCATATTATGTAAGATATTGTCTCTGCAACAATGAGAGCACAATGTGTATTAAATTCAGGCAAAACATAATCTGAACTCTGATATTTATTTTGTTTTATATTATCCAATGCATTGTTTATTTTACAGTTTTATCATAAATAGTTATTTCTCATTTTAGGTTGCAGAGAAAAAATCAGCACGTTGGTCTATATTTGGAATGTCTCCCAAATTAGCTGTCTTGATATTTGCATGGCCTTTAATTGTTCAATTTCTTATCTATTACATAAGAAGAAGACAGCGCCATCTATAACTGAATTTTGGAAGCAAAGATTTTGTTATTATTACTCTTTTTTTTAATACACAGATGTCTCTAGGAATTTTTACATAAAAGAATTTCCTATATTGTTTACCTACTCAACATGCCTACCTATAAGCTCTTTCTAATTTTTGTAAATATTACACTTTTTGATTGTTTGTTATAGAGTTTTATTAACTCCAGATAACTAAACATTTGTCACAGAGACTAATTTGTGAAAATTTTGACTAGTTGAAATATTATTTGTTACACTTGAGTGAAAATGTTAAGCCTTATCTCTTACCTGTATTTAAACAAATAACATTAAAAGTATTTTTCTTAAGCTAAATTAAAAATTATTATAGCTTTATTATTCTTATTTGTTTTACATAAATAAATGAAGAATTAAATTTTAAAAAAAAGTAGCATTTTTTCAATTTGTAATCTGTGTTAAATGATTAACCAATCATACAGAGTAACTCTTGTTTAAGTTATCCGGAGTTAAAAAAGCTATTTACAAATGTTGTGCTTTTCACAAATTTTATTATTTGTCTAAGAAATCTTTAATTTTTTTTCCTTATGTAAATAATGTTTTTATTTTTTATAATGTGTGTTTTATTTTCTTTTTTTGCAATTAGGTCTTTTAATTTTCTTATTGTCCTTTAAAAAATTATCTTACGAATTTATATTTAACTAATTTTCTCTTATGATTTTGTTTTAATTTTTTAGCCCATGTATTTTATGCTATTTTCTTTTGTTTGACAGTTGTTTTTTTCCAGGAAATTTTTTTATATTTATTTCTTTACCTTAATAGTAGTCTTAATACAGAATTTTTAATCTGTGATAAATAATCTATCAAAATTATTTTTAATTTATGCAGTAAAAATAATTTACTGTACTGATTTTTAAAATTTTTTTTTTTTTGTGCAAACAGATTTGCATAAGATATTTTGGTTATTTAGTTTTAATAGACTTTTCTAGTAATTGAATTTTTACGGAACTATTTGTTATTAAATAAGCTTTTGCATTACTTTCCTCAGTGTCTAAACACCAAATGACAGTAGAAAATTAGAGAAACAAGTATGTGCAAAGTGGTTTAACCAAAAAAAAATAAATAAATAAACATAGAGGAACACCTTTGAACCAGATAATAAAATTATGGGAGATGCTGGTTAAAGGGTATATCACAGTATACTCTATCTTTTTTTTTATTTAACTTGTATGTTTCTTTAGATTTTAATTTACTGTAATTTCAAATGACTGTTTTTTTTTTAAACTTTTATTAGTGCAGTAATGTCGCAGGTAGCAGAGAACCACCAATTTTATGTCAAAAATACTTATATTTCACCTTTAAATTTTACTAAGCATTCGTAAAATTAAAGTAAAACTAAAACGTGAAATTATAGCAAAAAATCGTTATACAAAAAACGTAAAATTATGTATAAATAATTTTTCTTTTTTTTTTCAATTATCTTGCTAATTACTTTTTACTAGGTAAGCATGGAGTATGTTATTTTACATATTATTTAAGTCAAAAGTATGTAAAATTTTAAGTAAGCAAATTTGTTTCTTTTATGACTATTTTATTAACCACTTTTTACTTAGTAGGAATGAGTATCTTTATGTCAAAATGTACGTAATGTCAAATTATAAAAAAAAAAGTGTTTATCCAAAAAGCAGAAAATTTGTGAATAAATTTGAACCAGAATTTAAATGGTAAATTTGCTTCATTAATAATACGTAAAATACACAGAATCATTTTACTAAATAAAAATAGTAAATATTCTTTCGTTAATATTACGTAAAATTTATGTTTGAAACTTCTTGATTTGACTAATTTCCCAAAAATTTTCTTATCATGCTATGTGGAATAATTTTTCTTAATATATATTAATAGAATACCTGTCAAAAGTAAATTCCAAAAAAAAAAAAAATTTATAGAGGACGCATATTATGTACCAATAATTCAAAAAACAAAGTTAACTAGCAATAGAAGGCTCTAATAACCCATCAATTCTAATAATAAACTTAATATTTAATTAATTGGCAATTTTTACCAAATCTAAATACAATTTCAGAAGAAGTCTTCTCCCTTCAAACCTATCAAATATGCCTGTGCAATTATTTAATATTATTGCAGTTAATTAATATTAATTAATAAACATATTAAATAATTCATTAATGTATTGATTAATTAACATATATACTATTACAATTAATTAATATTCACAATAATTCTTTTCAGCATGCGAAATAGAAGTGGGAAATCCCTGTTTCTCACCCAACTAACTGTTGCTATTCTACATTTCAGTGTTCACTTATAAGTGACATTAGGAGCTAAAACTCTATCAAAATTTAACTACTGAGGAGGCTGGGACTAAAATATGTTTGATTTCTGGAGAAAAAAAGTCATTTGAATGGCAATTAATAGAGACCTTTTTAGGTTTGATCAGGCAGTCAAATATATTTTGATAAATTTTTCATTCCACCATTTGCATTCAGAGATTTCAATAGTGCATTTTATTTCTGCAAATTATTTCTTAAATATTAATTTGCAACTTCTAATGTGTGTACTTTTATTGCTTCATCTTTGATAAGAAGTATTTAAATATGTGTTATGGGAAGTGACTAAAAGCCACACTGTTTATTGTGGAGTTTATAAATATATATTATTTATGGATAATAAATTTTTAGTCTTCTTATGCTAATGTAATTGTAAATACTTCAATATAGCGATATAAGCTCAAATATACATTGTTTGTGCTTGAAATGAAATTCAGACAATATTTCTTATTACTTGAACTTATTTATTATTATTATAATTTAGCTTATCAACATTCTTATTTTATTATATGAATCCAGAGTTATTACTCCAAAAATATATTTGGCTGAAAAGTTTTTTTTCTTCTTTTATCAGAATAGCAAATGCATAAAGAGTTCAGATTTTTTTTCCGACAGAAAATTATGTGCTGTAAAAATTTGTGATATTAAAGCTTGACTGCAATTGATTAAATAGACTGAAATAAGCTTTCATCTTTGCTTCAAGATGAAATTCTTTTCCCAAATTTATTTCTTAGTTTTGATGTTACAATTTACTTATTTTGTAGATATGTAAATGACTTTATGAAAGTAAGTGTCAAAAATCAAAAACTTTTTACCTATCTATTTTGTTAATGTAGGCCTTTTAATAGTGTTCAGTTGATCTACATTATGTATAAATGTCTGTTGAATATGTATATTTACTCATGTATATTAAAATTATTTTATAAAAATGCTGTTTTTTTATATATTCTTCATCTAAATTCATCTTTTCAAACTACTGCATGAACTTAAATAACATAATGTTAAAAATTGTTCTTTACCTCACTGTAAGGTTTTATTATTATTTTGCCATTTGTGACCCAAAATAGTGTGAAATATGCTGATTCAGGGAAAACCGGGAATTGCCAGGGAATTTTATTTTAATTCTAAAAAACATGGAATAGTTACAGAAAGTTTATAAAAAAAATTAGAAAATGACTAGTCTTAGAATTGTCAATAACAGAAATCAGTTATTGAGATTTGATTTAAATAATTCTAACATCTATTACAATTATTTTATAAAATTACACTTTTTACTGAAACTTTTCCATGTTTCCATTCTCATTCTATTGTATATTTTTCCTCACAACAAAATCTAATATTAGATATTACAGTTAAAAATTTACCTCATATACCTGGAAAACTCATGGAATTTTTTTTCTGAAATTGAATGGGAACCCCGTGATTTTTCACCCTAAAGTTTAAAAAAAATATATGTAAGAAAATAAATTTTTTTTAAATTATTTTTACTTAAAAATGTCAACTACCGACCTAACATGTAAGAGAAATGCTAGTTTTAAAATAGTATTTTTAAACAAAAATTTCCCAAGAAATTTTTTTTTTAGAAAAACTATAACTACCCTTAAAAATTTATCAAAATTGACCTTATTACGGATATTATAATTAGTATTTATTTTCTCAGTATGGAATAATTTGTTTTCGATTTTTAAGTTCTTAAGTCTACGAAACCAAGATTTGTTTTAAAATTTTGTTTTATTAAAGGAATTAGTTCTTTTATAAACATATTTTAAGAATCATAAAACACTCTAGTTGGCTTCAGAAATAATAATAAGCAACACAACAACAGACGATTTTTTTTGGAACTTATGAGTGTTCATGATGGTGAAGATAGTGTTTTTGATAAAGAAGTTTAGTAATCTGCTAAAGAAAAACATAAAACGAAATGGTAAGACTGAATTACCCGTTATGGGGAAAACAGTGAACTGTTAAAATCATCAACCAATAATAAAATTTTATGTAATCGTAAGTGTTTGATGGAGCAAAATTCAAGAAGTAATGAAATTTAAATATTTTTTTTTTTAATTTTTGTGTGTTTAAAAAATCAATAAAATGGAGAAAAAAGTGGTGAGGTTTTGCATATTTAGCGACTTTTAGTTTATGCTCGATTGACCGAAGAGAACTGATTTTTTTAGTATTATTTTAAAGTTTTTTTAAAAAATATAAGTAAAATTTAATTATTAGTTGGATATGTTTCTGCTCTATGTTAAGGCTGTTTTTGAAAGCTCTGTCGTATTATGAAATGCTGCTTTTTTGTGAATAATATGCTATTTTTGTAACTGCTGTGAGTTTGCAACTCACGACTGTTAGGCCAAGTTTAACCTATCTAAACCAGGGCTGTACGCGCTTATTTTAAAAATAGCTCTTTAAACGAAATCTTCTACCTGGGGAATTTCGAAGCCAAATTTTAAAGTTATGCCATGAAAGTACATCCGCTCTCGGTGGTGTTACCAAATCCAAACATAGGTTAGCACGATATTACTTTTGGTTTAAATGCTATGAAGAGATGGGGAATTTTTACTGATATATGATAGTTGCCAAAGATCTAGGAAACTAAATGATAATAAAGACCCCTTTAAGAATTATTCAAGTCATACAGGAAATATTCTCAAAGCTAAAGTTATGCAGTTGTTCCTCAGCTTACCAAGCAAAGTGGAAAGAAATACTTGATTACTGTCATCAAAATACCCTGTCAATGAATGATCGATGTATGTTACGGATGCACTACTTAACATTTTTTTGTAGAACTGGTTTCCCTTGAGAAGTCCTATGCGATCAAGCCCATAATCGTCCACTGGATCTCCATTAGACGTCATCGCTAACGTCCACGAAGGTTCACGTGGCCGCCTGATGGACGTCCACAAAACATATTTATTTGCTCTAGGGAAGATGCAGTAGATGTCCAACAGACATCCGCCATAGCTTTTACGTGGATAATTTGATTCATAGCTTATCCAGGCATGGACGCCTCATTGACAGCCACAGGAATTTTTCTGATATGCTGGAAGTCGTGTAACGAATATGCCCTTTGTAAATCGTTCGTATATGAACTCAGTAATTTAATACTTCGCATTTTTATGGCCTCAAATAGATGTAAGAGTGTAAAAACCATAATTTTTTTTCTCACTCTCACATCTATTGAGGATGTAAAATTGCGAAATCTTAAATTGCAAAGTTTGTGTATGAACGATATACAAAGAGCTTTTTCG